TACATCTGTGTTACTATTCCTTTTGTTTTTCCTTTAGTCTTGAATGCACTGGATTCTCAACATAAACAATTTCATCCTTCTCATTGAATCAAATAAATGTTCTTTATAATATAACTTTCGTTTATTTTGCGTATGTACCAAAAAAATAAAAAAAATTGATTTTTATTAAAGCATGTTTTTTATGAGGGGTACTCAGCTTTACGAAAATTATAGAAGGGGTACACATATGTCAAAAGTTTGGGAAACACTGGTATAAAGTAAAAAAGGTAAAACTGACTTGAGCTTCTTGGTCACTCCATGGACATGTAGTTCTTTTAAAGCATCACAGTAATAGTTTATAACTGTCTTCTTTCATTTCTTTTTGGGGGGAGCAGGGGTTTTCCCAGTACTGGGAATTTCCTGGTGGCCTCCCATCTAATTTCTACTTATTAAGTAATTTAGCTTTTAAAATCAGCAAGGTTGTGAGGTACTGCCACCTAGCTGAGCCGTTAATGCATTATTCGCCTCTAAAATATAATATGTGATGTAATAATTCATGCGATGTAAACACTGCATTTTATTATCTTTGCTTCTGTTGATTATATGCTGCGCAGATTTAGCCACCGTTTTTACTCTAAAATCCGAGCAGTCTTTTGAACTATTTGTAAGCCATCTTGAGGAAATACATGGGGGTTTCCAAGGCCAGAATATGTCCGTCTCTTTTAAATCAAGAGGGGGCAAAACATAGGAAAAAAATATAATATCCATTTCGTGTAATTTACATGCAAAAATCTATCCTGCTGACTTTCGTTCTCAAACATAAAGCAGCGCCATTCTTGAAACTGAGGCGACCCCTCTTTCTCTCCCTCGTGAAGGCCGTTCGTTCCGTCTGTCCCCGTCTTTATTTTAGACCAGGGCTTCAAGGGGTCCTCTACGTATCAACCCAGCGAGCGAAACGAGACATACCATTGGGCAAAAGGGAAGAGAGCAAAAATAGATTTGCCCCTCTCTTGCTTCGGGAAAAAGAAAAAGCCGCCGCTGGCCAGCTTAGCGCGTCCCTTCCTTAACCGCCAAGTCCCGGCCGGAGCCTGAAGTAAATTAATGCGCGCGCGGGGGGGGGGGACGGGACGAAAGAGAGCAGACACCGCCCCCACCCCGCTTCCAGGGCAACAGCCAATTTCGCGGATAAAGGGGCGGGGCCATCCCAGAGCACAAGAGGCTCCCCGCAGCCGCGGCGTCGCTGAGAGGGTGGAGCTGGACCAGCAGAACGCGCGCAGGGAGCGGGAAAACAAGGACCCTCAGGCCCCGCCCCGTCGCCGGGAGTGTGTGCTCGCGTCCGCTCCCACATTCGAAAAAGACCTTCTTCGTCCCAGCTGCTTCTCTTATCCTCAGCCAATCAGAAGCGCCTCCCTTGCCTCTCCCTCCCCCCCGTCTCCTTTTCAGGCAACGAAGCCACTCCCCTCCCCGTCACTCCCACAGGATGCGATTTCGAGGACCATTGTTCTTAGAAGGGAAGTGGCGGTAGGCGTGAGTGCGTGTATGTCTGTTTTTCTCTTTACGTCTGTCTTTAATAGAACGTACGTGAAGAGCAGGAACCGTCCAACCATCCAATCAAAGTTTAGCAACTCCCACCACAGCCCGCCTGTGTCGAAACCGTCCAATTAGAATAAGGAATTATACCAATAGCCCACCTTCCAGCTAAAAACTATTCCCACCAATCAGGAGGGAAAGCCCCAAACCAACCTCCACCTCCTTGAATGCCAATGTTCCAATCAGGTCCCGAGGGCGGGCAGACGACAGCCTTCATCTACCACATCAACCCATTAGTCACCGCACGCCTTCAACTCTTCCTTCAACTAAGCAAGCCAATCAATCGCAGAGAAGCAGCCGGGGCAGTTCGAACTATTAGAAGAAACCTCCGCCCTGCCGCTCCCCCCCCCCCATCCTCCACCCTTCGGTCTGTCAGCGTCACTACGAAGCGAAGATCGGTAGAGGGGATACTAATCATTGAGCAACAGGGCGGGGCCAAAGCGGCTTCCTGAGGGAAGCTCCACCAATAATGGCAAAGGAGGCGTGGCGAGTACAATCAGGGAATGACGAGGAGCTATAAAAGCCCTGTGACGGCGCTTTTCACTCTCTTCTTTTAGAGCCCAAGCGCAGAGGCGTCTCCCTTTAGCGCAGTCGAGTGTGCACCGCGGGTTGAAATGCCCGCCCTTGTCCTTCAACCCTCCTCTCTTCCGTATTACCCCTCCTCAAACAGCCGTTCATACCCGCAAGTTGACGCTTGTCTCTTTCCCTTCTCTCTCGCCTTTCTTACACACTCTCGCCTGCCTTTTTGGCGCGTCTTACGGAGGGACGGCACATTATTAAGTCCTCACTACAAAACAAATACTTGCTGCTCCTATCGTACTCCTCCCTAAGCGCCGCAAACCCGACCCGGTTCCCCTCTCCTCCTCCAGTTCACCGGTGGAAAATGAGTTTGAACGTGCCAGGGGCACTCCGGTGTCACCTCCGCTAGCTGCCGTCGCACTCTTTTCGCCGCTCTCCACCCCTTTTACCTCTCACAGCACCCGGTGACAAAGGACTTCTCCAGCTCTTTAACTCCAACCACCATTTCCCGGGTTGCAGAGTGAGAGAGGGAGGGAAGGATCTAGCCTCCCCTCCGCAAGAGCTGCAAAACGCGGCAGGAGTTTGGGAAGGGGGAGGCCCTCCGCACATCCCCAGCCCACACGGGATTTATATAATCGGTTCCCATCACTTTCCACTCCTTCTCCCTGCAGAATTTGGGCGAGAGCAGCCCGTTTTTGAAAGCAAATCATTGAAAAAAAGAAGAGGGAACGAAGGCTACAAGCCCGGCCCACCCCTCGCACACTCCAGCTAATCCGCCCGCCCGCCCTCTCTCTCTCTCTCTTACTAGCACCCTCTCCTACTACAGCCATTGCGAATACTAGAAATTCCTCAATGTGGTGCCCCGGTCAGTCTCTCTCGCCTTCTTCCTCGCCGCTGTCCCACCGTCCCCCAAAGCAGCCCCTCTTCGCCGGGGGAAGAGGAAGAAACAGCTGCCTCCGTGCCCCACGCGTCCGGATTTTCCTGCCCCTCCTCTGCCCCGCTTCGGTGCCGCCGCCTTTTTGTCCAGCATTTTTTACACCTAAAAAGCCAAGTCCTCGCTTCAGAGCGGAGGACCGAAAGGAAGACCTTTTGTTCCGCCCCGAGAGGGGGGAAAAGAACTGGGTATCCCTGCAGAGCAAACCCCCCTTCTCTACTCTCCTTGCTTTCCGCTCCTCTTCTCACTAATAAATAATCCTGATAATAAAAGCCACCCTCTGCTTCAAGCTAGGGGGGACGCAGGGAAAAGGGACCCAAGAGACCATCTCTACAAACAAGGCAAGCCGAGGTGGCTTCTACAGACTCTCGTCCACCAACACATAAAGGAGAAAGCTCTTTACCTTGGTATTTGGCATCAATTTCCCTCATCAGGGAGACATTTCTCTGCAGATCGAAAGGCAGCGATTCGATCGAGTCCAGGTAATCCTCCACATAGTTCGCTAAATGGAGCTGCTCTCCGTTGGCAGGATTCAACATTTTCATCCGGCCGAAAATTGTGGGTATATGTATGTGTGTGTGTGTGTATCTCGTCCTCTCACCCCAATGGGCGAGAGTTTTCCTTTCCAGCACAGCAGCCCCAATGGCAGAGACTCAGTCCTCCGCCGCCTCGGTGCCTCTCTCCGGTTCCTCGATCCAACCGAGAAAAAAAAGAACCACCAGAAAAGCTACATCTGAATCTTTTCTTCCCCGAACAGGCAGTCCACACAGTCCGCGAGTCTCTCCAGCGGCAGTAGCAGCTGATTGAATGGCTGTCGTTGTCGGTAACTCACCAAGGAGGTGGTAGGAACAATCGGAGGGATGTGTGTGCGTCTCCGTGTGAGTGTGTGGACAAGAGAGGGGAGGGTGGAAAGGGAGAAGACGGGTCTAAAAAAAAAATACACAGATCTCCCCCGGCAGACAAGTAAGATCCGCGCGGTAAAATTGCCTGGCAGAAGGAAGAAGCCGCGTCTCCCAGTGCGTGCCGCTGCTCCTGTGCACTGCCGGTGATCTTAATGCAGCTTGCTCTGTACGCCGCACTTGATCCAACGTGGAAAACCCAAATACCAGTTTCAAACACTTGGGAAACATTCAACCCCGCCAGCTAGTGCGCGTGCGCAGCACTCCCATTGCAACCCCCCCTCCCGCTCCGCAAGAGCGGCGGCGGCAGCAACACCCGGGACTCCTGCTCAATGCGCCGCTTTCTCTACAGTTGTGCTGGGCTCTCCCTCCTCCCCAGAAGGAAGTGAGACCGCGGGGGCGGGGGAGCTGCACGGGGATGGGGTTTTGTGCATGCCCAGCCAAATACAGCTTTCTGACGTAGTCATGTCTCGGAGCGGAGTGGGGGGGGGTGTCGCAAACGCAATAGTCTTTCCTTTTCCCTTAAAAAAAAAAGATGGGGGGGGGGGCTGCGCTGCGCCGCCTCCGCCGGAGCGGGAACTCGGGCCGCGTTGGCCATAAGGCAAAACAAGAGAGAGAGAGACGTCTGAAGTTGGTTGCCAGCTTTTGAACGCCTCCGCCGGAGCCTTTGGATCGCTCAGCACCGCCGACCAGACAACGAGCAATGCTGGTAAGAGTTGGGATGGTTGGTTTTGGGTTTGTCGGTTCCCATGGCATAAACTTGGCAGAACTTGCGGCAAAAAAGGGCTATGGTCCTTGTCAGCCTGGGCATCAAGCTGTATTGATGGCCAGAGAGGAAGGGATGTAGCCCTTGGCTCCCTTCCGCCTCTCCTCTGCATTGTTTCGTTTCTCCCAGTTTGCAGGAGTTTCCCGAGTTAAAAGGAGACCGTCTCCTTCCCTGCTTGAAGTTAGCCACGGCCTCTATTATTATAATCCCAACACTGACAACAGGATGGCCCAATCCGCCGCCAGGCTGCTTCCCACCCCTTTGCTTTCTAATCCAGTCACAGGCTGCGGGTTGCAGAGCCGGAAAAGAGGAGGCAAGTAAAAAATCGGTGCATGCGCAAATTGATGACTTGTGAATAAAATGGAGGGCGAAAAGATGTAAAAAAAAAGTAGACTACATTTCGCTGTACCTGTTTCCTTTTTAAAAAAAATGCCTTTCCTTTTTTTGTGATGCCGCATGCGCTCGGATAATGGCTATTGGACTCCGTGGAGGGGTAGCCCCCGTGCTTTTTAAGATTGCCTAATCTGAAAATAAAAGCACTCAGCCGCAGAAAACAAGACTATCGAAGTGGAACAAGCTGGTTGCTTTCCTCAGCCCTGATGATACTTATTATTTGAATTTATCCAACTGCAGTACCCTCCTAAGCTCAAATCCATGTTCAGATCCCCAGGTAGTCCTGCTGTCTGGAAACTAGATTTAGGTTGATGTAAAGATAAAAATTGAACAAAGAGAGAAAACATCTGGAAACAGCTTTAAAGCCAATAGTTAACTCCAAAAATATATTTAGTTAGCAGTAAATGTAATTGTCAGATGCCTGCATAAAAACAATTGCCTTGAAAATGGTTGAGGATGTAAAACTGACAGGTGGAAGAAAAGGGATGCCTTGCTGAAATAGGCAGTATAGTGAAGAGTCATTCTTAAATTTTCAGATATTTGTTCACTGAATGTTGAAGGGATATTGAGTTGTTTTTACAATCATCATATTCACATATTACACCTTAAAAGTTAACTGTGTTTGTAGGCAAATAGGTGTGTGGTGGCAAATTTTTATTTTTTGACATAGACTTAAAAATGTAAGATTTTGAATAACTATACTGATAATATTGCACAATGAAGATTTGAATAGATTCATTTTTAGACTGCCTTGATCACTTTATACATATCTCAAGGAGGCAAATTGACATTATACTCCTTCCTCTTCCACAACAACCGTGTTAGGTGGATTGGATCTGAGGGAGAGTGACTGGCTCAAAGTCACCCAATTGATGTTCATGCCTAAAGCGAGACTACAACCCAGTCTCTTGGTTTCCAGATCAGTACATTAATCACTACACTGTAGTGTAGATAGTGACAAAGTGTTTGTTTTACATTCTCACCACAGGTGAGAAATAGTATCTTCTCTGGTGCAGGTGATCGTCACTGAAATAGCTACCCTTCAGTCCATAGAGAAAATAGCAGTCTATGTAAAAGAAAGAGGTGCATCACCTGCTTCTCTTGAATAGAGATTGTAAAAGCAACTCCCAGGAAATAAAAATACTATTTTTTTAAAAAAATCAAGGGAACCACTGATTAATGACCTTGGAAGTCACTTCCCCTCAGCCCAGCTCACTTCACAGGGTTGTTGTTATGGGAAAAATAGGTGGAAGGTATGCTGGATATGTTCACTGTCTTGAATTATTTGTGAAAATAATAAAAGCAGGGTATAAACAAATGCTGAATCTCATGTCTGAATTTTTTTTGCCTGCTGCAGACAATCTGCATACCAGATTCATGTGATATCTTTGCAGTGATTATGCTGTGGGTACCTAGCAGTTCAAAAGCATGCAAATGCGAGTAGATATATAGCTATCACTTTGGTGGGAAGACAACAGCGTTGCGTGTGCCTTTGGCATATAGTCATGCATGCCACATGACCATGGAAGCATCTTCTGACAACACTGGCTCCATCTGCTAAGAAACTGAGATGGGCACAATCCACTAGAGTAGGACATGACTTGACAGGAGAAATATTTACAAAAATTCACAGAAGCAATTGTCAACCATTTGACTGAAAACCTAGACCCATTTGGTGCTTTAAAAAAATTGAGATGCCAAAACAAGCAGCTGTAATCAATCAGCATGCAAAACCTGCAGACAAAAGGAATAAGCACAAGCAATTTTACTCTTTCTAAACTAGTGAATAGGGGAAAATAGCACAATTTTTTCCCTAACATATAAGAACCAGAAAAAAAGGGAGTGGGGATAGAACTAGCCCTTTTTGTCTCAGAAGAGAAGGAATGGATTTGCCCTCGCCTAAGAAAGTATGTTTCTCAGTAGACACAATTTCACTCTGCTGCTTAAGCCACAACCATACATATGGTAACAGGAAGGGAGGAGTTTTTATAAATGATAAACTGCATGTGTTCAGTGTTTTCTATTGTAAGATTTGCTGCTTCTGAGTTTCCGATAAATAGCAATAGTAGCTAAGTACATACACACAGAAATACTTTGTATAAAATCTTCTGAAAAATCATAAACCTTGAAAGCTTTAAATAGTGCTTACGGGTTTATAGGAACTTATTTTTGTGTGGGGCAATTAACTACAATATTTGTGTGACTTCAAGACAAAGATCGATAATTATTATATTGAATGAGACTTTTCTCAATTTGGAAAACTTTTTCTGACTAATCTGTAGACTTAGATATAAGTTCCATTTCAAAGAAGAAAAGCAGACCTGCAAACTGGTATCTTAATTCAACTTGATTTGTTTAATCAGAAATAGATGTATAAGATGCTTTGTATTAATAGTTTTAATATACTTTATTAGCAACACTCAAGTCAATTTTAGTAAGACTTGTGTCTGTTCAGTACTTTAGACTATAGATGCACACATTCATACATATGATCTAGGATTAAAGATGCAGGATGGACTACAAACCACAGCCATTGTCTACAGGCTCAATAATTATTTGCTTCAAAGTTTTGGGATAATTTTGGGATATAAATGATTGCAATAAATATTTTCTTTTTGGTAATATTTTTTTATTTCTACAGATGCATAAATTGTTTTAGCTGTAAACCATTCGGGCATGTCCAAATAAAATTAGAGAATATGAATAAAATTAAAGCACACTTCCAGTGTATTAGTAACTCAGTAACTTCAATGGTACTTATGATCATATATATATTGGGATTCATTCTGAATTACATCAAGCAAGGCATCACAAATGTGTGTGTGTGTGTGTGT